CACTCAGGAGGGTGAACCATCCTTGAAGTCGGTGTGGGATAAATTGAGGAGCAAAACTTTACACACGGAGTATTAAACAATCGTATGTAGTTGGTGTTTGGAGCCAGCTGCAAATTATGCGATCCCATCTCACCCACTCACCCACACCATCAATGAAAGCATTTTATATTACAAGTTTACAATATTATTTTACAACATAAATTTTATGATTAATATTATATTATTATTATAATACTGTTATTATTATATGAATATTACTATTATTTGACCCAAGTCACCATGAATAACTTTTATAAGCATTAAAATTTAAACATAATTATAATCATTAAAATAACTAAGTTACTCTTTATCAACTGTCCTTATTTGGTCATATACTATTTCTATTATTATTATTATTATTAAAATTATTATTATTATTATTAAAATTATGCTTTTTCCATCACACAGTTCATTATCTAGTTCTAATTTTTGCAACAAGCATGGTAAGAACTACTATTTGTGATTTTTAAAACTGTAGAAGTATACTTTTGTTATAAAGCGACTAACAAGCACAAAACAGAAGCGGGAAGGACTCAACTCAGTAAAGTGATGAAGTCACGATGTCACAAACACAGGCACCCAGCCGCGCCACCACCTGCTTTCATGTCCCCTATGTCTGCGGTCGATCGTCGGTGTCCCTCTGGAGTCCGACACTCCAGCTTGTAGCTCGTTGTGGCTCTGCCCCTCTAGTCTATTCGAGTCCGACTAGCTGCCTCTAGCCGAGTCTAGTTGTCCAGCCATCCACACATACTCTTATACTCTTTTAATCTATTATTTTGTGCATTAGTTTTATTTGATAGTTATGTAATTCTATTTGATTATTAATTTAATTTATGCTCAAACTCGGCTTGAATAAAATAGATATATGAACTCTATTTTTTTAGTGTTCAAATATATTTAAAAAATTGCAATGAAAATGTTTAAATTTTAAGATAAATAAAATTTATTCCTATAATTTACGAGTTATTGATAGACTCGAGTCCGGATCAAACCGAATACCACTATGCTCGAACTCAGCTTGAACAACTATTCGAACTCAAAATCTAGCTCGTGTTCGAGTTAAAAAAAGCTTCTTAAGCTCAGATCGCTAAATTAAATTCGAAATCACGCTCGAATTTGCGTAGTTCGAAAAAAACTCAATTCGATTACGGCCCTAAACAGCCTAAGCTAAACTTTTTGTTTGCAATAACAATTTTCTTCCTGCTAAGCCCACCCCACTCTTCATTCCTGGATCCGTCCCAGATTGAGATGATAACGGCTAACACTTGTAATCCATCTATAGTGTGGCGATTTGACTTTTATATATCTTCCGAAGGCCGGAGATTATTAGAATTGAATATTGAACTAAGACAGTAAGAAGCACAGTACAACTATCGCAGTATTTTCGGAATTAATGTTGGGAAATAGGTTTAGTAAGAGATAATGATTTTCGATTCAAAATCATGGATATATTTGGGTGATTGTTTAAAAAAACAAATTTTAAAATTCTTTTTTAGTAATTCGATATTTACTCTGTATAACTTAACTAGTAAGGGGGTGTTTGGATCTGATTCTTAAAACTGCTTCTGCTCCTTCAGGGAGCAGAAACAGAAGTTGGAGTGTTTGAGTGAAAGTGCACAAGTGATTCTGGTGCTCTAATTTACTCATAGAATCAATTTTTTTAGAAGCTGTGGGTGACCTGCTTCTGAAAATTGATTCTGATTCTGCTCCTGCTTTAAAAAGGAAGCAAAAGCAGATTCAGTTCCAAACACCCCCTAACGTGATACATGTGTGTGCATATATGGAAGGTAGCAAAAAGAATATGTACTTTTATTAGTGCATGACCAACAAGTATGTAAATGATCGGGAACCGGTGGGCGTAGCTCAACTGGTAGCAAGGGAGTTCCACAAGGGTTAGGTCCCGGGTTCGAATCCCGGCAACTGCGATGAGAGGTTACTATGCTAAAAATGCATAGGGCTTTTGCAGGTAACGGGGACATAGCCTCACTCTCTACCTGTCATATTAGAATTATAGTTCAATTTACATCCTCCCAACGTACCGTCCGATCGGAGATGGGGGGCCCTCAGGGATGGAGTGTCATCCTTCTTTTTTTTGTAAATGGCCGGGCATCTTTTTTATGACAAGGAGAACGAGAAAGCCACCGAAGAATCAATACCGTTGAAGAAAGCCCAAAGTGTGGGTGTTTGCTTTGGCATCTCATTCTGGCCGGATTCACTTAGGAAGAAGGACCAATTTAAATTGATGAATAAAGAACGCCAAGTTTAATAAAGGACATATTATTAGAGATGGAGTTACCTTAGCTTCATAGGATACCCCAAAACGACTGGCAACTTAATTGGTCGCCTTATGGGAAGCAAACACATGCATACTGCCAAAAAGCCCATTTACCTCCATACAATGAGCATGCGTTTGGTGACTCCTTTTTTGGGACTTATCAGGCTTATCAGCCAGCTTTTCACTATATTTTTTATTTCGCGCGCTAAAGTTTGTAATAAGCAGAAAAAGTAAAGTTGGAGTTACTTTTCTGACTGTTTTGGTTGAAGTTACAATAAAAGATCATTTTAGCTATTTTTCATATAATTTTTTATTTAATTTATCAATGACAAATATTTTAAATATAATTTTTTCATGAATCAGCAGAATCAGTCAATACAACCACTTCAGCCAGAACTTCATAATTTTCAGCAGAATCAGTCAATTCAGCCGATTTTAATGTTACCAAACGGGCTCTTAATTAGTTTATTCGTTTGAAAAAATGCTTCGTGTACGCGTTTTTAGTGTACACTTTTGACACACTTGTGTGTCAACGCAGACGTAATTCTCTGTATACTAGGGGTGGCATTTTGAACCGAAAAACCGAAAACCGAACCGAAAATAACCGAACCGTTTTAGAAAAAAACCGAACCGGACCGAACCGAACGAAATTGGGACCCAATAATCGGGACCCGAAAAAAAATCGATTCGGGTTCGGTTTATGTGCACAAAATATCGGTTCGAACCGAACCGACATTTTTATATTAATAATGTTGTGGCATATCTGCGTAAGTGCGTATTCCATTTAGATTTTTTTTCTTTTACTTACCCCACTTCGGACTTAGGAGGAGGGGGTGATAGATAATGGTGTACCATTATAAAGCAGCGAGAGATGATCGAAGATGTGAATGTAGAGGCTCTCAACGGCAGGGGACTGATGGGCTGGTGTCACCGATCGATCGGCTCCAAGCAAGATATCGGGGGTGCAAGAGAAGCAGACAGACGATTGATCAAAAGAAGGGATAGGAAGTTAGGGTTTAATAATCTTAAATTAAGGGCATATTAGTATATATAAATTATTTACTTTAATTTTTTGTTTATTAAATATAATTGATGGGTCATAGAATATCTTTTGGGATTTGGGTAATATCTAGAGACAAATCTAGAGTCAGAAAAAGGTATAAATTTGGCGGGACAATAGTACATAAAATTTTGGATCCTTTTCCCAAATGGGGAAGGTGCTAGATATAGTTATATGCAAAAGTACAAGACTTGGGTCTTTAGCCCAAAATGTTACTCCCTCCCTTCCTAAATAAACTTCCAACTTTCCTATTTCATCCGTTCCAATTAAAACTTCCATTTTCCCTTTTTAGTAAAGAATTTGTGGTTCACAACATTTCTTACACATTTCTCTTTCCTCTGCACAATTCTCCACCACACAATACCCACTATCTTAAACTGTGTGTCAAACCTATTTGGAAGTTTTAATAGGAACGAAGGTAGTAGTTAATAAAAACATGACAAATACACCTTGAATACTTGGAGAACACACTCACTAATGTCATGCTAATGTGGTATGACGTCAAGTCATTAACCATGGGAAACTGCACAATGATGTCAGTCTTTTGGGATTTGGGCCGTGATATGAGCAATAGCGATTGTGATGTAAGCCATTAATGTTAGGGGTGGACTCGGCCCGGTTGGCCCGGCCCGAAACCGAACCGGCCCGCTACTGTGCGGGTCCGGCCCGGTCCGGTGAATCGGTTCCGGGCCCGGTTCGGGTCAACCGGCCCGGTGGGATGGCGGTTCGAGCTCGGGCTCTTCAAAAGGTGAACCGTCCCGGCCGGTTCGGGCCCGGGCCGGGCCAATTTTTTTTTTTTTTTTTTTGAATTTTTTTTAAGTTTTTGGGTTGGGCTGGGTATTTTGGGCCATTTGAGGTAGTTAGGGTTGGTTTGGAGGTGAGGGGGAGGGTTGGGGATTAACTAGGAAAAGCCAAAAAAAAAAAATAGAACCGAGGCCCGGCCCGGCCCCGGAGGTTACCCGGGTCCGGTTCCGGACCTCCCCTTCTTGAACCGAGGCCCGGCCAGGCCCAGACCCGAACCGGAACCGGTCCATGCCTAATTAATGTGCATATGCAAAGAAGCGACTAAATGTAGAAACGATAACTGATCTGGGGTGTATCAAGTCTACTCGAGCCTGTCTAATGGCATCAGCGTAAAATCCTACTGTGGTAATAATAATTACTATCGTATTATTTTTGTCATAATTTCATGTTTTTTCTATACAAAAACCAAACCAACTCAATATAAAAGAGACCAATCAAGCCATTGTTTCATTTGAAAGATAGAAATTGAATTGACCTTCTTACTTTAATTCATTGTTTGGTTTTTGGTCAAGATCAAATTTTACAAACAAAACTCACATGTGTGGTGAATTGCAAGGGTTTATAAAGATTATTATTTATAATTGTCCTAAATAAGTAAAAACGTTTGTGAATTTCAAAATAAAATTGCTATATTTTTATTCCCTAAATAAGATTAATTACTTCCATATTTTTGACATTACCAAACTTTAAAGATGGCAACGTTTTAAAGTTTGGTAGTAATTACTCTTATTTAGGAAATAAAAATATAGTACTCCTAATTTGAATATCCCTTTATATTAAAGTATTAACACCTTAAGAGCAGTCAAGTCTGAAGCAGATGAATATTTGTAAACTTGATGGATTGAAAGAAAATGCATCTGCTGTGATTGCCGCCTCAAAATCACCTTTAGGCACATGGACACAACATAGATATGGGATTACAAATGCCTAAAGAAATGGCATTTAGGAGTAGTTCAAGGCCTGTGTACAATTTAGAGAGAGAGAAGTTGACAATGCTGTAAAATAAAGTATCAATAAGCAAGCCACAGTCCTCTTCTATACATGCATGTCATTAAAAGCAATGTGCTCAAAGCTATATATCCCAGTTGATAAATCATTTCGCAGAACATGACTATGGTCACCACTAAAACTTGAGTTGAAAGAATCCAAACCCAACCCATGAATCAACCAAAGAAACACACATTTGTATATGCAAACTGTTCTATAGCAGAACCAATCAGTCCCATCGTACATTTACGCTGATCAAACTAGAAACACAAAACGTGCAGCCCAAATTCCAGCAGCAGTTGAAACAGAAACTGAGAAGAGCTACGACAATTTTGGTTAATTGAAAACAAAAAAAAAAACTCCAGACATGAGCTCACTCTTGGCACAGAGAATAAATTAGCTTGTGTGGCGACGGTTCCCAAATTGGGAGGTCCATGAATGGTTTCTTAACTCTTTCTTCTTCAGCACTGCACCAGGCTACAGCAGCATCGCATAGTTTTGAAATATCGGCAATCATGGCTCCTTGAATTTCAGCCTACACAAACCAAATCGAAAATAAGAACTTCGGATGCAACTACACAGGCATGCCAGATCTCAGTAGCTGAAGGTAGTTGTAGGAATTACCTGAGAGAGGAACTCATCTATGTACGGATGGGAGGAATTGTCCTCCGAGTGCGCCGGCGGTGTTGGGGCACCGCCAACGTGGTTTGATGATAATGCGGAAAGCTGGGGGTAGGGTTTGTCTAGAGTCGCCTTTAAGGTGTTCCACAAATTCTCCCACAGTTGGATCTCTGCTTCGTACTTGTGTTTGAGATTGAGGAGGGCGGCCCTCTTCCGTGCCTGGAGAATCTTGTCCGGAGACCCGCCGTCATGAAGAGAGGCGGTAATTTGGGAGTCGATGCGGGAGCGTTTTGGACGTTTGTAGACCAATAAGCCACCCTCTTCGGTGACGAGCTCCCATTCGTTTGCCCAACTTGAAAGCGCCATCCTCTCCCACGGCCGGAAATTTAATAATTATATATTCAACCATTTCAACAGTTTTATATTAGAACACTCTCAAATAGGCCCTTCTACTTTGAACGATTTCTCAAATAAGCCTTTTCACTTAGTAATCCTCCAATCCGGTCCCTGAACTAATCAATCGACCCAATCAGGCTTTTTAGCCGGTGGAGTGTCAATTAGCCCGTTGAGTGCTGATCTGGACGCCCTCGTATGCCTCCATCATCCGGCAATTTATTTGACGTGGCTAACCCCCTTTTAAACTAACCTTCTCCTTCGCAGACAACTAACCCCCTTTTGAACAAATAAACTCCGTTCTCAGACCTGACGTGGAGGAACATATACTAATGGAGTAGTTAGAGTGAACGCGGGAGTTCAACGAAAGTGTAGCGAAGGACTTTGTGTTAGGTTAGTTGTTGGAACACGAGAGTTGGTGAGAAGCCCTGTAAGGAACATCCTTGGAACGCGAGCCTTCAGTCAAAGAGGAAGGGAGCTCTGAAAGGTACGTTGTTGTAGTTGCCATATTTACAATGTAGTGCAGAAGAGTTGTGGTGTGGTCGTTCATGATGCATTGCCCGTTTTGTAATGTTTACAGTTTACATTGTGATATTTGGGTTTAATTTAGCTTTAAGATGACTTTTGCACATTATATTTTGTATACAGATTTTCATGACTTTTTATGACTTATTATGTGTTTTGGTTGTAATGATGACCCGTGTTATGATGATACAACACTAAACATGTCCTTTTGGAGTACAAAGAAGGCTGAATTTATGTGCTTTGTATTATGTGTATCTCAATGATACTGCTTTACAGTTTCATGACATTGGTCTGAAGTTAAATGATGATTTTTTGTTGTTATATTTATAGAATGTTTGAGACAGTAGAACTACTAGTACACCATGGGGGGAAAATCAGTTGTGATGCACACAAGATGTATGTTGGAGGGGTAGTTGATTGTGTACCTGCAGATCCTGATGTCATAAGATATCCCCATTTGAAGAAGTTCTTGGAAGGTCAAAGCAATGGCTCTATTAGAGGTCTATACTTCAAAACACCAAGTGCCAGTATGAACACCTTTACATGAGCTTATTGATGATCAGACTGCACTAATGATAATAGAATTAGCAAAAAGTTGTGGGAAATGTGACTTATTTGTAGACCATGCAGAAGATGAACCACACACCCAAGGAGTTGACCATGAAACAAATGCTACAACAGTGGATGTAGGTCAGTCAGGGGAAGATGTTGAAACCCCTTGTCCCAATGCTAGAGGGCATGAGAGTGGGTATGACGAAAAGAATAGCCAAAAAAAGAAAGAATGTGAGGAAGTGGCCAGGTCATGATTATTTTGAGCCTTGATTAAGTTTTATCTTTAGCATGTATGGCCTATAAACTGTTGTGCAGGTGCATTTAGTTGTGCAGGTGCATTTAGTCCACTCATTATGAAGAAGTTGAACAAAAATATATTAGCAAGTCAAGACTGGCATTTTGATTTCAATTGGGATGATGGCTATGAGATAAAAAAAGGCAGATATCAATACAAGGTCAGCCTAAACAAAAAAACATGTGCTTGCAGAAGATGGGATCTATGTGGAATTCCCTGTGCACATGTCATTTGTGCTATTCTTGTTAAAGGTGAGGACCCTGAAAGCTATGTGGACTCTTGGTACTCCAAGGAACTATATGAAAAAACATACTCATACACTCTGCAGCCAATAAATGGGGAGTTATTGTGGCCAAGAACACACCATGAAGACATTCTACCTCCCATACCAAAGAAAATTAGTGGTCGCCCTAAGAAGAAAAGAGTGAGAGAAGAAACTGAACCCCGTGCACCATCAAGTACTCAACTACCAAGAAAGGGAAGAATTATGAAATGCTCAATCTGTAAAGAGGACGGGCACAATAAGAAGTCATGTTCACAGACTATACCCATCACAGAAGAAACCCAAGGTGATACAACAAGTGCTGAAATTGGAAGAGGTCAAAGGGGTAGAAAAAATAAGGGAGGCAGAGCAAGTCTTCAAAGTGGAAGAGATCAAAGGGGTAGACAAAATAGGGGAGGCAGAGGGAGTAGTGAGAGGGACTGTTGAAAGTGGAAGAGGTAAGATGGGGAGTTCAGTTGACATGCTGGATGTGTGATGTTTATTTTGTGGATTCTGTATTTTGGAATATTGTAGTTCTTCTCTTAGTTTTGCTTTTATGTTTGGTATTATGTTTGGTGTATGTTTGATGTATTTTGGCTCTATGTTTGGTGTATGAAGAACTCAGTTATGGTAATGTGTGTCCTGCATTTTGTGAATCAATGGTGTACTTTGGTGTACTTTATGTTTTTACTTTGTTGTAATGTGTAATGACCATAGTGCAAAGCAGATAGGTCACTTATAACATGTAACTGACCATGGCTTTCAGAATTAAGAACCTGTACAAAGCACCATGGCTTTCAGAAGTAAGAATTAATAAACTGTAACATAGTCCAAAACATTTGGCCCTACATGTAATCTGACAAACTGAAAAACTTAAGCATTGTGCCATAACAAACATTGTATTCAAGCAACATTGTGCCATTACAAAGCAATTACATAACAAACTAACTGAAAAACAGTACACAACATCAAGTACATAAGTATTCAGACATTGCCAAGCTTACATCCTCAAATACACACTTCCCACTAAACCAAGAAGTACAATCATAGCTAAGGCATAGAACTTCCTACTCTTTTTGTCAACCTTTGCTTCATTGTCAATCACAGTTTTCACAGACCCAAGCTCAGTCTGTACATGTGACATCTGCCTCCACAGTGCTTCAACCAATTTCTTCAATTCCTCTACGGTTTCACTCTTGTCTTCAGCCCTCAAAATTTCCATCTTCTGTGTAGGAGTAATTTATTTGATTCCTAAGTCTTCCTTCCATAAAAAAACCGCAACTCCCTACCTGAATTATATCACATTCGCAAGCAATGAACACGAAAAAACAGTGTTAATCAAAACCACACACCCAAATTATACACTTACCTTCCACTTTTGACATCCATAGAAAGTTCTCCCACTCTCTCGTCCAATGCATAGAAGAGCTTTCAATCCACACCAGCAATAAACAGCAGGCTCGTAGTCCATAGTGCTGCTTCGTTCTTTGACTACTGTTGCTGACGATGAAGACGACATACTTGCGAACCAGATACAAGCTCGAACGAAGGAGGGGAAAGAGGGAAGGCTAGGTCTGAGGTTTTGTTTTTTAAGTTTTAAAATTTAGGCTTTTAGTTAGTTAGTTTATAAGTGGATTAGCCACATCATTTAAAAGGCCGGGTAAAGGAGGGACACGTGGGCGTCCAGGTCAGCGGGTAACATGCAAACCGGCATCCCACAGGCTAAAAAGTCTGATTGTATATTTGTGGTTAGTTGATGGACTTCATTGAGTGATTAATAAGTGTGAGGGCTTAATTGAGAAATTTGTTAAAGTACGAGGGCCTATTTGAGAGTTTTCTCTTTTTATACGGAGTTCTAGTTTAATATCCGTGCGTACCCGCGAAAGAATCGAGTTTTTTTCAAACTAATGCTAAATAAATAAATACTCCGTATTTATGAAACTCCTGTTAAGTTAAAACTATTCACTAAGATACTCTTAGGCCAAACTGCGGTTAGTCAAAGCCACCACACCACTTGGCGACTTTCCTCAACAATACGCAAAAGCAGCGCTCAACCTATCTAATATTCTCTTCGTCCCGCAAAATAGTTCCCGGTTTCGTTTTTGGATCGTCTCAAAAATTAGTTCTCATTTCCCTTTTTGGAAAGTCGTGTGTGGCTCACATTCATTTATTTTTTTCTTACTCAACTACAATCATACATTTTCACTTTATTCTCACTTTCTTAAACTTTGATCCTAGTCAATGCGGAAACTATTTTATGGGATGGAGGGAGTAGAATCGTATGGGGAGGGAGTGGTGGGTCCTATGTAAATAAAAATCTCTTTTTTCTTTAAATTGTTATAACTTTCATATTTTGGTTCCAATTTTTGCAAAAAGTATATCAAATTTTATAACATTTTATGATCTTTCATATGATACAAATATTCAACATATAAATTTAAAAAAATTCTAAAGACCATATGAACTGAAAAAGGTAATTGCAACTATGTACAATCAATAAATCAAATTGTCAACCAGTTTAAATGGAGATTCAGTATTCACTCTGACAATTCAGTTTCTTCTTACTAACACCGTCAATATATTCATCAAACAAATTTTTTAGTTAAATTCTTACACTTTTTATTGATCACCAATTTTAGCCAAAAACTTTTTACAAAAATCTGAAGATTCAAATACTAGATATTTTGTAGCTAAGTTCTTTTTAAGCAAACTTGCGTGTTAAAATTAAGATCTTGTGATTATTATTGATGGGGTTATGGGACCAGGCCTAGAGCCTAATCAGCCCAGGCCCCGAACTTGGACCAGCGGGCCCAAGCCCAGCAACCTAGAGCTCGAGTCGGCCCAACCAATCAGGGCAATCAAGGAGCGGAAGCCCAAGAGAGCCTGTCGACCAGCCCAACGGGGGGCCTGCCTTCCAGCCCAGTGGGGAGCCTGCCTTCCAGCCCAGTGGGGAGCCTGCCTTCCAGCCTAGCCAGGAGCCTGCCGACCACCAGCCCCGCTGGGAGCCTGCGATCCAGCCCAACTGGGAGCCTGCGGTCCAACCCATGTGGGAGCCTGCCTCCAACCCAACGGGGAGCCTGCCTTCCAGCCTACCCGGGAGCCTGCCTTCCAGCCTACCTGAGAGCCTGCCTCCAGCCCGGTCAGAAGCCTTCCTCCAGCCTAGCGGGAAGCCCACCGTCCAGTCCAGCAGGAGGGAGCTCAAGCGTCCAGCCTGCCAGCCAGGCTGACCTGCCAGCCAGGAAGAGTAACGGCCAACAATCAATGCACGACTTAATTATGTGTTTAATTCCGTATTAATGTTGTAATTAATTTAGTCATTATTATGTTCGGCAGTTACCATTTGTAATCGCCTATAAAAGGCAATTCGAATTTCAAATACAGGGATGCTATTTCTGGCTAACTTTCCATATTCGTACTTTCCTAATTCTTGCTTGAGTGTCGTACGTAGCTTTCCTAAAAGCCTACGAGCGTCCTATTTTGGACCAACAATTATATACTACATCCGTCCTGGTGGACTTTGCCAAGTGCAAAGTAGGTGAAAAACAAGAATAGTAAAAACCGTGTGGTTGAGATTTGTGTAGAGCAGAGAGAAATGTGCAGAACTACAAATTAGTTTGTTTAATAGGAAAGTGGCAAAATTTTTTGGGACAACCAAAAAGGGAAAGTCATCAAAATCCAGTGGGACGGAGAGGGTACCTTTTTCAGTTATTTTTTCAAGAAAAGGCCCGAAGCAACAAAAAATTTAAACTGCAATTTTTTATTGCATTGAAATGTTTAACTTTTTACATCGGGTGTTTAATTTTATTTTTTCAATTGAAATGTTTTACATTTTGATTTAAATAGGTAAACATTTAAATGCAATAAATACTTGAAGTATAATTTTGTATTGCTTCAAATCTTTTCTTGAAAAATAACTGAAAGATGTATAAAATAATGATGAGATCTTATCTTTAACATTCAGATTTGCGTATGAGAAAAGTTTGAGGTTAAATGTTTTCATTAATCAAAAACAAAAGTTTGGAGCTCAAAGAAGATCAAATATCATCCTAGTTTCAACCATAAACGATGACGAACGGAGGTCCACGGATGTTGCTTTAAAGACTCTAGGGCTCTAGGCAAGAAAGAATTTAACTAAGGGAAAATGAATTGACCATGCCCCTCAAATAATATGTCATTAGAATAACAAATAGAATAATCTCCCTTAGGAATATTCTTGAGAAATGTACACCTTCTTCTTATGAGAACATGAAGTGAAAGCCAGGACGGGAAGTGCTTGCATTGACAAAGGGTCTGTGACGCCCTCTTAGGTGAACTGCAACCTCAATGGCGAAACCGGCGCAACTGTCAAAGATATCTCTTGCTTTCTTCCACTTCACGAGCTCATTCCCTTTGGTTATACCACGCTCCATCTCCGTTTCGTCAAAGCTAAAACCTTTCACCCTCGAACATTTCTCCACAACCTCGACACCATATCCACTCCAATATGATATGATCGTATCTCGCCCGGTTGACCCTTCCCGGCACCGTGATCGCTCCCGTAACGCACAACGCCGCCTCAAACCCACTGAGTCTCCCGAACCGGACTCCCAACACGGATTAGATGGTTGGGCCGAAAGGAAGTTAAGTTCAACTACATCTTCTTCGATGCCTGACACTGGAATGGATAAGGCTAAAAGGAAGTATTACAACAAGAGAAGTAAAAGGATGTTCGGATCGGACTCGGAAGACGACGAGGGTGGCCGCCCGGACGGAAGTGAATTTGTGGAACTTAAGCAAGAAGTTGTTGAACTGCGTACACTGCACAAGAAAGAGGAGGAGTTGCATTTCTACGATGCATTTGCTTATCCTTGGGAACAGGAGAAACATTACAAGATGGTTTATCAATTGGAGAAGAAGTTTTTTCCTGATCAGTGTTTTGATAAGGCTTTCCTTGAGCCTGGTCAGTCCAACGAGAAGAGTACAAAGAAGGGAAACAAGAAAGGTGGGAAGAGAGAAGAGAACAAAGCTGATAGTTCAGATGGCCGAGGAGATAGAGGATTGGTGTTTTTCGAGACTGATGAGGTGAAAAAAGAAAAGACAGAGATTGATGATACTAAGGATGTGAAAATAGACATTTCAGAGAAGAAAGTTGAGGAAATTTTCAAAATTTTGAATAAAGTCCCAAACCGAACAGACAGTGGGGTTTCTAGTGCAGAGCCCTTCTTTTCCTCAAGGGGTAGAGGGCTTCCCCCAAAGTGGGATACCCCTGCTGGGACTGTGGTTCTAGTGAACAAGCCAAAAGGTTAGTCTGGTAATTGAGTGTGTTTCTCCATGTAATTATTACACAGCATCATTATCTGTTTTGCTAAGTATTGTCAAATTACATTCCACATCTCAGAACTACTCTGTACTGTCTCATTTCTAATTGCAATTAGGTCTGTCATGAAGCATTTATTGATGACTTACATTTTGAAGTCCTGGACTCAGTTATAGGATTATTGATATATTAGTATTGTCAATATTGTCTCACGACTAGTATTATCTGTAGAAGTAATTATGTGGATTGAACTCTTGATGCAATGATATTGATTGTGTTCGACGTGTATTGTAACTTTCCTGTATATTTGCACTCTCAAGTTAGTTCAAAGAAGTGTTTGGAAATTTTGATTGAAACCATGTTTGCCTGATGTATAGCCATGATGCGGGTCGCTTTGGGAAAAAATGCATGGCCTATGCTGTTAGGCATTGGTGTCTTACAGCGTGTTCTTATCAAAATAATTGTTGTCAGGTGTTGTTGAAGAGAGACCCTGAATAGTGTTACACGTCAGCTAAATATGAATGGATAAATGAGCATTGCACAATCTTCACCTCTTCTGAACTCTTTTAGGTTTGAGTTAGACCCTACCATATACTTAACACTAACATGTCAGGAAGAATAGTATAGATTCATAAACTAGCCCTAATATTTAAAGTTGGGAGTTGATTGCTGATAAAAGTGTAGTTCTTAAAGTTTACTTAATTTTCAATTTCATTGCCAATAGAAGCTTTTGCCCGATATAAGATTATGAATTAATTAGTGCTGTGAACTCCTTTGAATTGTTATCTCATGTCATACTCTTTATATATGTCACCTCAGGATGGACTTCATTTACAGTCTGTGGAAAGTTGCGCCGCCTAACCAAAGTGAAGAAGGTATTGTATCCAGTATTCAAACTATTGACTTTATAAATTGACACTTTCTTCTTCATTTACTGTTAACCCTCTTGCAGGTAGGCCATGCCGGGACTCTTGACCCTATGTCCACTGGTTTATTGATTGTATGCATTGGTAAAGCCACAAAGCTCGTTGATAGGTCAGTCAACCTAAGTTATAAATTATGCCATTAGGTTTTCACAGTTTGAGATTTCAGATGAAGGTTTTCAATGTAGATGGTAATTTTGCAAATCATTTCGTAGTAGACATATTTTTAACCAATGATGTTTCACTTAACATGACTATGCTAGCAAATCATTTCCTCTACAGTGATGAATTTGTTAAGCTAAATGCGATTCAGTAAGAATATTTCGTGGCAGATACCAGGGTATGATTAAGGGCTATAGTGGAACTTTCCGTCTAGGAGAAGCTACCTCTACTTGGGATGCAGATTCCCCGGTGTGTTTTATGTGACATTTTCACAATTACTCCATCTGTCCCATGTAAATGTTTTTTGTTTGACTTGACTAGTTTTTATAAATTCATTTTTACACTTTGACTTCTAAATTTTCCCCTAAATAAGTGATTTGAGAGTAAAACATTTTACTTATAAATTAGTGATGGATCTGAGACAGATGTAAAAGGATAGTAGAAATGTTATTTAGGGACGATGGAAGTAAAATACTTTAAATGCTAGTAGAGATACTTGGTAGGACCTACCAACGACGCAAACAAAAAAGAGACCCATGAAGCATGCTGCAGCTTGAATTAAAATTATAAATGTCTTTTTAATTTTTGTGTGTTAGTTTTGAATCATGGGTTAGTTGTTGTGCTATTTAAAAAAGGTGCTTCCTGCACATATTAACAGTCTAAGATCATGGCTCCACTTTCCTCCTAGTCATGGATCCACTTTCCTAGTTTTTAAGAGTGAATATAATTGGGCCTCAAGAGAAAGCATGTGTTTGTTCATGGAAGCGTCTGTTGAGTCTAGTTGTTCTTGGGTACCCATTTTGATGGGCTCTGATGCCAAACTGTTACAAGCCTGAGTTTGAGATTGTGTCACAGAGCGGTGTGAAGAAGAAAGTAATAGAGTAATTAATTCCCATCAATTAGGTTTCCTAGTTTATTATTATGTTTCCTAATGTATTTTGGATACTATTTCTTATATATATGACATCTAGGGCTCCCAATTGGGTTAAATCATTCCATTATTCTCACATGGTATCAAGAGCTCTAGGTTTTAGTCCAAATTTAAAAAAAATCCGCTCCTATGGCCTCTGCCGCCGAGTCTCAAGCAGTCACCGCCGCCGCATCCCAAGCTGTCACCACCGTGACCGACCCCATGCTGAGCGTGACCGACTACCAGCCTATCTCCTCGCCTTTGCCGACAGCGGTCGTCTCTTCCACGGCTGACCAGCTTCGCTCGCAGTCGTACTCGGCGTTCCCTTCTTCCCTTCCGGCAGCAACGTGGGTCCCCCTATTTTCACTTGGACTCCGTCTGCGCCGACTTTCAGTCCGTTGGTCCAGACACCATCTCAACAGCTCCCCGTGTTCCTCGGTTTGCCGGGCCCACGTTATCGGGCAGTCCAGGTTTGGAGCTTCCTTCGGCTGGAGTTATTGGACAACAGTCCACTCAGATGCCCACGTCGTTTGCTACACTTGCTCAAGGTATGACTTTTGGGGCCTCTGTTACAACTATCGTGACCTCAAAATTGACAGCTGTTGAGGATTATTTGCCCTGGCTCACTCAGTTTGAATCTTTTGTGGTAGCCAACGGCCTTTTGGGATTTCTTGATGGCTCTCTATCCGCTCCGCCTATGTATATTTATGATTTATATCAGGCTCAGTCCCCGAATCCTGAATATTATCATTGGCTCAAATTAGACCAGGCGGTACGTGCCTGGTTGTTTGCAACCCTTTCCTGAGATATTTTGATGGAAGTTGATAGGGAGCAGGCCGGGGCAGCCGGTCAGCGGGCAGATGCGACCGAAGGAGAGCTGGGCCCCAGGCCCTTGATAGTCTACAGGAGGCGGGGACGGGCCTGAGCCCACCTTCGTGGGCTGGCTATTTCAGTGGCTTTAATTAATTAGGAGTTTCCTAATTATTACGTTTCCTATTTATTTCCTATTTATTATGTTTCCTATTTCAAGTTAGTTTCCTATTTATTATGTTTCCTATTTCAAGTTAGTTTCCTAGTATGATTTAATTAGGAGTTCTACCTTAATTAGAACTAGTAGGCTATTTATACCCTGAATAGGGTTATTCGAACTATGCTTATGATGGATAGTGTACCCGGGGGTAGCTTATCCGAGGGGTTATTACGGGGAATAACTAGAGAGAAGTCAGAGCAAGTAAGTATATAGAGAGAAAGTATATTAGAAAGTATTCAGCGTGTTATGACCTGGTTACAAATGGGGAAATGGGGTGCTATTTATAGTAGCAATAAATGCCGGACAGGGACACGTGTCAAGCGTTCATTGGCCGAGGGGTCACCTCAACTGGTTGGCGCTGACAACCGCATGTGGCCGCATTTAATGCGGTTGTTGGATGGGACGTTGTACAGGCTACGGTGATCTATACGCATGTGGAGCGGATATTATGTCGGAAAAGGTGCCCTCGGTAGTAGATGACTAGCCGAGGGCTCTGAGTACCGGGGACCCCTTTAGTGCCGAGGGCTCTAGGTGCCGAGGGCTACTGATTTTCGCCGTTTTTCCCAGTAACTTTGTTTTCCTGTCTTGGCCCTCCTGTGAGATTTAGAGCCTTCGGCCAGGGGGCCGAAGGCACCCCTGGTGCATATTGTGGGCCGCCTGGTACTCTGGGCGCTGCAATTTGGGCCTGTTATGCTTCCTGGGCCTGTTGGGCCTTTATTGGAGTAGTAGGAGTCTGTGGGCCGGGGGTTCCCGGGCCATATACTCCATCAGGAGTCCCTCACTCCTTTTGCCGAAAGATACTTGAGGGAAAAGGAGTAGTTGTGTTTGTCCTCTGCCGTTGTTCCGTTGTAGTTTGTGGTGTTGTGGGTAATTTGCTGTTTGTTTATTCTGCCGAGGGCAGTCCCTCAGTTACCCACATGTCGGGACATGAGGGGTCATGTTTGTGATTTTTGTGATTTTTCTCGGGGGGGGGGGGGGGGTTCTCCAGTCCCCCACTCCTTGAGACACTTGCAAAGTGGTGAAAAGGAGTAGAGTAGTTGCGTTGCTGTTTTGGGCCGAAGGCCGACGCTTTTCGTTTCATTTTGGGGATGCCTCGTTAAAAACCTCATTAGGAAAAACCCTGTGGGAAAAAATCCTAATGAGGGAAAAAGAGTGCACCGAATTCCCCCAACGATAAATCGAAAATGTGAAACATTGGTTCGAAATGGAGACTAATGCTGATGCCGAAGGCTTTCCTTGTTCTGAGGGCTCATGTGTTGATTAGCCGGAGGCTTGTTGTTGATGTCCTGGGAGGTGCCAAAGGGGGTCTCTCAATCCGGGGATCGAGGGCGTAATGAATGCGAGTAGTAGTTGAAGTATTATCGGGGTGTCCCCTGTTTGTTGATTAGTTGGTGAGGAGGGTATCCGAGGGCTCCCGTTACCTGTGTGCCGTAGGCTGTCCGCCAATGAGGCGTATTCCCCGGGGGCTACCCGGCCCTCAAAGTGCTGAGGGGGGATCCCCGAGGGGTGGCCTGTTATGAAGCCGTTGGCTTCTGATGGAGTGATCCCGAAGGCATCCGTTATGTAGTGTGTGGGGCACAAACCGGGAGTGTCTCCGGGTAAGTGTACCCGGGGGCTCTTCTTGATGAAGTGGAGTGAAGTAAAAAGCCCGGGGGCTAATTTCTTGGTTGATGAAGGAGTGGCCTGTCAAGTGTAGCTGGGAGCTCCCAGAATATAGCCGTTGGAGATATAGCCGTTGGAATATCTAACGTCAGGATATAGTCGTTGGGGGGTTGCCACGTGGTGTGTGCTCGTTGGCTGCCCGTGGGCGGGCGTCACCGATCGGGCGAAACCACGGTTTGTAATGATGGTAGTCCAACCGGAGGCCCTGTTTCCAGACCCAAGCCCGGATCCCAGCGCCTATAAATACCCCATGGCCGGACACCACTCTTCCTGTGCGATTACTTGTTAGCGAAGCTCTGCCGGATTTTTTCTAGAGAGAGAAACACTGCCCTCGATCTAACTCCCGCTTTAAGGTCAGTTCCCCATCTGTTCTTCTCCCTCCTTAGCTAGCTGTAGCGGCCTTAGATCTAGGAGTTATAGCCTAGAACACTTAGTGTTTTCGAGCCCTCGAACCAGTGAAAGATGTCCTCCCAAAGTGATTCCCAGGACATATCGAGGGATCCCTCGATGGAAGAGGAGAGCTTCTCGGACGCGGGGTCCTCGAGCGAGCAACCCTCGGCCCAGGAGGATGTCGCGATGGCGGTGGAAATGCAGAAGGAGTTGGTGGCCGAAGTCGAAGCCGAGGGCTTCGAGCAAGAGGCGGAGGATGAAGAGCTTGCCCTCGCCGTGTAAGTTGCAGAGGAGGAGGAAGAGAAGGAGAGGCTGAGGGTGACCGTGGCTGTTCTTCCCCCTCGGGGTGCTGGTGAGGCTGGGAGCTCTCGACCCCTCAACCCGACGCCGATAAGAGTGGCCCCCGGGAAAAAACAGGAGAAGAAGAAAACCGCTCCCAAAAAGAAATGCATTGTTGCTGATCAGGGGAAACCCATAGATATGCCCGAGGGGTACTCCTGGCTGAATACTGCTGCCCTCGAGATAGGGTCGAAGGTTGACAGGGAAGATATGTACGTGACTCAGCTGCACGTGGGTCCTTCGGCTGTGGTGGTGGCGCCGGGCCCTGATGATGTGCTTTCCCGGGCTCCCGAGGGTTGCATCGCCGTACACATTTTGTCGGTGTCAATGGGGCTCCGGTTCCCCCTGCACCCATTCCTTCGGGAGTATCTTCGGTATGTGGGCTTGGTCCCCTGCCAGTTGACGCCTAACAGCCACTCCTACGTGGCGGGATTCCTGAATCTCTGCCGGGCCCGAGGGGTGACCCCCAGCCTGGATTTATTCTTCCAGAGCTTCAACCTCTGCCGAGGGGGTCACGCGAACGCCGAGGGCTTCGCCAATCTGCAACAGGTGGCTCGGTGGAAGTTATTCACAGAAGCGCCCTCGTCCAACAAAGGCTGGAAGGAGCGGTGGTGCTACGTTAGAATTGCCGAGAGCCCCTTTCCGATGGAACTTCGGGATCGCTTCCGTCGGCATTCGAAGGTCGGAAGTGCTGCTCTGGAGAAGGATGGCTTGATAATAGCCAAGATTCCGGAGGGTCGCACGAAGCAAGTGTCCATTAAGGACTTCACTGCTGACAAGGAGCTTTTCGCCCTCGGCTTTCGCAGATATCGCTTCCTCGGCGAAATAGACGAGAAATATCCTGTGCTGGCAGGAGTTAGTATCCGAGGGCTTCCTTTTTTTTGTACTTAGGATTTTTCCCTCCCCCTTTTTTTTGCTCTCTTTCCCTTCGGTCTAACCCCTTTGTTTTTGTTGGCAGGTGTTAATATGGACGCTGGTAAACTCTTCGCTCTGAAGAAAAAGAAGGGCAAGACCCAGGCCCAGAAGAAGGACCCCTCGGTCCAACCGCCTGTGGAAGCCTTCTTTCAAAAGGAGATTCCGGAGCCCTCTGCTGCGGAGGGAGTTGCCGGGGTGGCAGAGGAGGCCACCAAAAAGAAAAAGGGGAGCAAGGCGGTTGAGTCCCCGGCTAAGAAGCAGAGGGGTACAGGGGGAACCGTCGGCCAGGATGCCCCTTGGTGATCATTGAGGATCGCCCTTCTCCGGATCCCCCAGTTGATGCTGCGGCGACAGCCCAAACCAATCCTCCCTTGAGAAGCCCCCCTCGGGAGATCCTGCAGCTTTCCTTGGCCCCGGGGGCTTCCGTCCTACACGGCTCAGCGGAGCCGAAAGCTTTCTTGAGGGGGATGACCTCGTTAATGGACAAGGCTGCCCTCTCAACCTATGATGATGAGGCCCTCGAGAACAGGATCCTTCGGTCTTCATTAACTGTAAGTTTGTTCCTTTAGGTTTTGTGTTTAACTTTTAATGCTCTTTCCATGTTAATCTGACCCCTCCTCCCGTTGTTTATCAGGTTTGCGTAGCCCTCAGGGAGCACGCACAGAGGCTTGAGCAATGGCGCCTCTGGAAGGCGGAGCAGGATCGGGAGATGAAGGAGCTCATCCTGAAGAACTCCGATGCTGTAAAGCAGATGGCCATGCTGGAGGAAGATCTCCGGAAAGCTGCCGAGGGAGCTGAGCTGAAGGCCAAAGCTGCAGCGGAGGAAGCCAGGCTTGAGGCCGAGAGGGTAGCTAAGAAAGCCGCCGAGGAGGCAGAGTTTGCTAAGGCCGAGGCCGTCGCCAAAGCCCGAGAAGAAGTTGTTGCCGCATTCATGGCCAAGGGCTGGAAAGCCGAAGATAGGCGGCAGTGGGTGGCCTCGGTTGTGGAGTCATCGGTAGATGACTGGGTGAAGGGCCCCGGGGGAGACTGGATGGCGGAAAGGGGAGATAGTTATTACCAAGGGGGTGAATTCTTCACCCAGCACCTTGTGTACCGGAGGTTAGCCAGACACTTCCAAGTCTCCCTCGAGGAATTCGACCCCTCGGCGTATGGCCTTCCTCCTCTGCAGCCAGACGTGAGAAACCCCCTCCCCCCGGGCGAAGAGAGGCCTGTGATCCATGACTCCATGATGATGGGGGGATCCGGCGATGGTGATGCCGAGGACGCCATCGGGGAGGAGGTCGCCTCGAAGCCCGCCGAGGAGGCAACAACTGAAGAAAACACTTGTAGTTAATAGCTTTTTGAACACTTTTCCTTCTTGTTTGTAATATTTGTGTACTCTCGGCCTCGGCCACATTGTAATATATACATTTGAATTTCCTCTCTTTGACGAATGAATGCTTGCCTTCGAGCTTTGTGTATATGACTTGTCCTCTTTAATTTGTTTCTTCTCGAATGTATGCCCTCGTTTTCTTTTGAATGTATGCCTTCGCCCTTCTTTGAATGTATGCCTTTGCTTTTCTGAATGTATGCCTTCGCTTTTCTGAATGTATGTTTAGGACTTAGAATATATTCTTCCAAGTGTAGTGCTTCTCGTAGCCCTCGGCCACTAAGCATATTTAGTCAGTTGAACCTTTCACCGAGGGCACAATGTTCAGGACTTAGAAATATTTCTAAGTGTTTGTTCATCTGTTGGCCCCCGGCCTGTTCCTTCCCTCTGGTTCTATGTAGCCTTTCTACACTTAGAATATTTTTCTAAGTATACTTTTGCCAAGTCCTCATCCGTATGGCCCTCGGGCTGTATGGAGGTATGACCGAGGGTAAAAACTTTTGGGACTTAGAAATTTTTCTGAGTGTAGCATGTATGAAGTAGGAGCCCTCGGGCAGCATGGAGATTTGACCGAGGGTCAAAATATGTAGGTCTTAGCAAATTTTTCTAAGTGTAGCTTCACTAAGTCTTCAACCGTATGGCCCCTCGGGTAGCATGGAGATTTGACCGAGGGTCAAAATATGTAGGACTTAGAAAATTTTTCTAAGTGTAGTATGTGTGAAGTAGGAGCCCTCGGGTGACTGTGAGGGCCTTGTCTCAGATATGCCTTCGGTTGACTGGCGGCTCCACAAGGGGCAAAGCATTTAGGACTTAGATTTTTTTATAAGAATTTCCTGTTGCTGGCCTTCGGGGGGACCCTTCGGCTGTATACGTTATAGGTTTAGGATAGTTCTCTTTGCCTTGCAATGCTGGCCTGTGGTAATAAAAGCCTTCGGTTGTTTGTTATATCCCCTCGGCATGTAGTGAGGTGCCGGAGGTGATTTTTGATTTGGTTTGGCCACATCCGATAGCTTTGTCATATAGTACCCTTCGGGGACGCTTTGAGTTGCTGTTGGCTGAGCCTGTGAGCTTTGTCATCCGATAGCCATTTGTTGATGATGTCTGTTGTGAATGGTATCCTTTGTACCTGTGAGCTTTCAGGTACCGCAGGTGTTCCCGTGGGGAGCCCTCGGTATGTTTCTGTGAATTGTTGGAGTGATGTACTCATTGATTTCTCGCCGAGTCTACTCCCCTTCACCACCCCATTTTTTTTTTGAGTAGTGAAGGGAAGGCTTCAAGAAACTTGGATCCTTGGTAAGGCTTGGCCTATCGGGAGGTAACAGAATACACCATTAGCTCCCCCCTCGGGTTAACCTTCCGAGTTCCGAGGGGATCGAGGGTCGATTCCTGGGTACAAGATATGGTGGTCTGTAGCCTGCCTCCCCTTGGGGGATGGCGCGGAAAGCGCCTCAGTTTTGAAAGTCGTCCCCTCGGCGATAGACATAGTCCGTGGCCTGCCACACCCTTGGGTGGTGGCGCGGGGAGCGTTTCGGTTTGGAAGTCGAATCCTGGGCATTTATCGTGCTTGTCATACCCTTGCGGTGATGACGCGGAAAATGTTCCGTTTTTGAAAGTCGAATCCTGGGCATTTCTCGTGCCTGTCATACCCTTTGGGTGATGACGCGGAAAGCGTTTCAGGGAAGGGTTTTCATTTGCACACTGGTTGCAAATGGCCGGCACCGAGAGGTGGCGCCTTCGGTATAGGTGTCCTCGAGGGGTACGACTTAGAAACAACACTTGGTGTTTGTTCCGATGTACGGCCCCCGGTACTTGGTACCGAGGGGTCCTCTGTGGAAACACTTGGTGTTTCCTCCTATTTGTTGAAAGTTGATAGTGGTGTCTCCCCCCGGCACCAGGTGCCGAGGGGTCTCCTTTGAGGACAGGTGGTACTTTGTTGTAGGTGATAGTATTGTCTACCCTCGGCACCAAGTGCCGAGGGTTCTTCCCTTGTGGTAAGGCCTTGGGCCTGGGGTGATATGAGGGCTTGGCCCTTGTAATAATCTTGTTCCATGTTCTCGGTGTCTCTGAAATGTCTTCGTTCTTCAGAATTTTTAGGCCTTGGGCCGTAAAATGATACATTCACAAGTTTATGAGGGCTTGGCCGCTCTGGTGTTTATTGATAAAATTTAACTAAGTGATGTACATTCCAGTGCCTAGGGACTTCAGTCCCGTTAGGGCGTTTTAGCTTGTAAGTTCCCGGCTTGATGATGGCTGCCACGATGTAGGGGCCTTCGAATTTTGGTGCCATCTTTCCGCCCTCGGTTGGTTGGCTAGCTTCCCTTCTTCGGAGGACATAGTCCCCCACTTGGAATTCCCAGGAGCGAACCTTGGCGTCAATGTAACTCTTCACCTGCCTTCGGTAGTTTTCTGCGCGTATGAAGACTTGCTCTCGGTGTTCTGAAATAAGGTGTAGGTCGAGGGCCATATTGGAGTCGTTGGCCTCTGGATCATACTGTGTGACCCTTCGGGTTGGAAGGGTTACCTCAGTGGGGGCCTTAGCTTCAAATCCGTAACAAAGGGAGAAGGGTGTCTCGCCAGTTGCCCGCCGAGGGGTGGTACGGTAGGCCCATAAGATGTTGTGGAGCTCTTCTACCCAACCACCCCCTTCGGCCTCCAGCTTCTTCTTTAGGCCCTCGAGCAAGGTCCTGTTGGCGTTCGCCACCTGTCCATTGCCCTGAGAGTAGGCAACGGATGAGAAGGTGTGTTTGATGCCCCATGCCTCTAGGAGGGCACAGAAGGGGGCTGCCTCGAATTGAGTCCCGTTGTCGGAGATGATTTGCTGAGGGACGCCAAACCTGGTGAGGATGTTTTTGAGAACAAAATGACGGCACCTGGCCTCAGTGATGCTGGCGAGGGGCTCCGCTTCCACCCATTTGGTGAAGTAATCGATGGCGACAATGATGTACCTGTTGTTGGAGGTACCCCTCGGCAGAGGGCCCACATGGTCTATGCCCCATCGAGCGAAGGGTATGGATGGGGGCATAGTTGACCGCTGGCCTGCCGGGGGCTTTCTGGAAGTGTTGGCATGCGGGACACCTCCGGGCAAGGTCTGCACAATCCCGGGCCATCGTAGGCCAGAAGTAGCCCTGGATTATTAGCCTTCAGGACATGGAGAAGGGTCCCTGGTGAGCTGAGCAAGTGCCACTTTGTACTTCCTCCATCGCCACTTCGGCGTCATCTTGATGAAGGCACCGAAGTAATGTCCCGTTGTAGGACCTTTTGTAAAGCCTCCCGTCTTCGATAATGTAGCTGAGAGCCCTCAGCTTTGCCAGCTTGGCGCGGGTCTCATCCTCGGGCAGTTGCCCTCTGGTGATGAAGGCAACAATGTCCGAGATCCAGTCCTCCTGTCTTTGTTGTATATTCATGACGGGGCTAGCATGTATGCTGGAGAGGCTGAGCTCTTCCACTTTGGCAATTTTCGAGATGTGCTCAGGGGATTCTGCCGAGAGCTTTGATAAAATGTCGGCCTCGGAGTTTTGAGCCCTCGATATTTGAGTAAGAGAGTGTGCCTCAAATACCTTAAGAAACTCCTTGGCCGCCTCCTTGTATTGCTTCATTCTCCCTTCCTTGGCTTCGTACTCCCCGGAGATTTGGCCGACGACTAACTTGGAGTCGCACTTGACGTGAATTTGTCGGGCCTTCATGTTAGCTGCCAGCCGAAGGCCACAGAGGAGGGCCTCGTATTCAGCTTCATTGTTGGAGACTTTGAAGGAGAAACGGACTGCATAATAGGCCCGGAAGCCCTCGGGTGAGATGAGAACCACCCCTCCTCCACATGCCTTGATGGCGGAGGAGCCGTCGGTGTAGAGGGTCCACCAATCATCCGAAGGGGCCGAGGGCTCCTCGTCCGTGGCTGCCCTTGCCGTACACTCCGTCACGAAGTCCGCTAGGGCTTGGCCCTTGATGGCGGGCCTAGGACGGATGTCGATGTTGTATTGGCTCAAGAAGACGGCCCATTTTACCATTCGGGAGGAGCTAGTGGGGCTCCTCATCAAGGCGCCGAGGGGTTGATGAGTGAGGACCTGGACCGGGTGAGCCTGGAAGTAATGACCCAACTTCTTGACGGTCCACACGATAGCCAACACCGTTTTTTCCACGGGGGAGTACCGGAGTTCCGCTTCCCTGAGGGTCTTGCTAACATAGAAGATGACATGTTGGATGCCATCCTCTTCCCGGATGAGTACTGAGCTGATGGCAGCCGGGCTAACACCCAAGTAGAGGTACAGGATCTCCCCTACCTTGGGTTTAGAGAGCACAGGGGGTGAAGATAAGTACCGTTTCAGCTCCTCGAATGCCCCCTGACATTCTGAAGTCCACTGGAAACCGGCAGTTTTCCTCATGATCTGGAAGAAGGGTAAGGACTTCTCCGCCGATTTTGATAAGAAGGGATTGAGGGCTGCCGGGCGGCCCGTCAATCGTTGGACCTCCTTTACGTTGCGTGGGGGCTCCATGTTGATGATGGCCTGGATTTTCTCGGGGTTGGCCTCGATACCCCTTCGGCTCACCATGTTGCCCAAGAATTTGCCCCCCTGGACGCCGAAGGTGCACTTCTTTGGGTTCAGCCGAAGGCTAAACTTCTGCATGATGGCGAAGATCTCCCTCAGGTCATCAGCATGGCTTGCTGATTGCTTGCTCTTGACGATCATGTCGTCCACATACGCCTCCATGGTGCGCCCTAGGACAGCTTGAAATACCCTGGCCACCATCCGGGTGTAGGTGGCGCCTGAGTTCTTTAGGCCGAAGGCCATGACAAGGTAGCAGAAGATGCCCTCGGGAGTCATGAAGGCTGTTTTTTCAGCGTCCTCCTCATGCATGTATATTTGATGATATCCGCGGAACGCGTCGAGGAATGACATGATTTCACACCCCGCGGTTTCATCCACCAGTTGATCAATATTGGGCAGAGGAAAGGGGTCCATGGGACACGCCTTGTTGAGATCTGTGTAGTCCACGCACATGCGGAATGAGGGTGGTTTCTGTGCGAGGACTACGTTTGCCAGCCATGAGGGGTACTTCACCTCCTTGATGTGCTTGATAGAGAAGAGCATGGCGACCTCCTTCTTCAC